AGGATAAATGGGCAGAAAAACATGAGAAGAATTCCAGTGAGGAGAGGGTTGTTTCTTGTATAAGACAATGTATCTATCCCTGTAGTTAGACAAGTCTTATGCCTAAAGGAACCCATAGACACAGCAGTGAAACAAAACATCTAGGAAACAAAGCCTAGTCATGATATTTGCTGGCATACAGAAGAAGAGTTTTGAAAAGAAATGTGTCCAAAATAACCTTGTGTGCAGTAGCAGCATTTTAATGTCAGAAGGCCAGAACCCTAAAATAGGGCATTGGTTCAGAGACAGAAGAAAGTTTGCTCCATCCTGCTGTATCTTCAATGTGGCAGATACCATGCGCCAGAAAAAGAGATCTGCTCCTCTATTCAGTTAGCTTGAAAAGAATTCACGTGTGGTGGCTTAACGGTCAAGAAACTGCCTGCAATGCAGGAGACCTGGGTTCAATCCCTGGGTTGGGAAGATCCCCTGAAGGAAGGCCTGGCAACCCACTCCAGTATTCTTGTCTGGAAAATCCCATGGACAGAGGAGCCTGGTAAGCTACAGTCCATGGGGTTGCAAAGAGTCAGATACGACTGAAGCGACTGAGTGCACACACACAAATGCCTACCTTATGCATTTAGCCAAAACAAATTACTATGAATTAAAGAGTTACTAATACATGTAAAATAATAATCATCCATCAAAACTAGGGGAAAATGAATAATTAACTGATCTCACAGTTAGAGAGGACTTCTAAAATGCCAAAGTAATAAGAGAAAACACAAAGTAAAAGATCAGAAGATTCAACTCATAAAAATATAAAACTTTTACACACAGAAAAATGACAGAAAACTTAAGAAGACAAAAACAAACTGAGAAAATATTTATTTTTTAAAAAATGATAGAGCATAGTTAATATTTCTGTTTTAGAAGGAGAGCTTTAGAAATCAGTAACATAAACATTCACACCTCCATTAGAAAACTGGATGGAGGGCATAAACGGATTTATTTTATGTTTAAACTGCATAAACTTTATGTTTAAACAAACATAAACTGCATGCTCATCAACACATATATTTTAAAAATCAGCTTCACTGGTGAAAAAATGAAATGCATGTTAAAACAAGATACCATTTTTCACTTGTTAACAAAGATTTATTTAAAAAACAAGATATTAGCAAAAGTTTTGGTGACACGAACTTTTATATACTATTGTAGAAATAGGAAAATGTATAGCCTTTCTAGAAACAATTTGGTAATACATATTAAGGCCTTTGAAATGTTCCTAGGTTTTTACCAATTGTTTTCCTCCTAGGAATCAAGGCTAGAAAATAATTATGGAAAGATTTATATTTATGTGCAATGTTCATTACAGCATTATGTATAACAGCAAAAAATTTGAAAATAACCTAAGATCAAAGGGGGAGTGTTTAAATAAATGGTGTTATAATTCATGTGATGGGCTAATAAAAATATGTTTTTAAAGCTTACAAGTCAAGATGCTCATTTTACATTAATAGTAGGATATAAAACATATGGACAGCATAATAACAAAATTTAAAAGGAAAATATAAATGCATAATATCACATTTTCTGTGTGACACAAAAATACATTCAATAGCTTTAGTAAATGTTCTGGACCAAAACTAATGAGATAAATTTATTATTAGAAATGCAAACTTCTGTGTTCAGGCTCAAAAAATAGAAATGGAAGGGAACTGATTAACGATTGCATTTAAAGAGAAAAGAAACCAGAGCATCCGTTGCCCATAGGCTAGGAGCTGCACTGTAAGAAGCAGCCTTGGGTGCCGGTTGGGTCTGCTGCATCTCAGTGAGGCAGCTGTGAGGTCAGAGGTTCTCAACCTGGGCTGAGCAGGAGGTGGTGAGGAGCTTGCCAGGACAGACCAGGCTTCACCCCATTTCTGATGGGGACAGTCTTGGGGGAGGCCTGGGATTCTGCATTCCTGACAAGCTCCCGGTGATGCTGAAGTGCTGGTCCAGGTCATGCTGGGAGAGCCGCTGCTTTAGGTCAACAGCAGGGCATCAGGAGGTTTTACTGAGCCTGTGACTTGATGGTGTAGAAGGCCAGCAACCGTGAACCCATAGCACGTGGAAGGCACATGCCAGGTGCTGACTCTCTTACCTACAACCTTGGGCTGTACTGTTGACGTTCGTGGAATTAAGTTACAGGCTGTTAGGACCGGTGGCAAGACACCTCCATCACCTNGAATTAAGTTACAGGCTGTTAGGACCGGTGGCAAGACAGCTCCATCACCTGACCAGGTAACTTGATCCAGGTCGTTAAGTCACTAAGGAAGCAGGGCCTGCAATTTCTTTCTATCCATTTTCAACTGCTCATATTTGGGGACGGGGTGGGGGTAGATAATTGTCACTTAGAATCTCATGATGGAAATTCAGAAGGAAATGGTCTTTGGCCTCAGAATGGCCCACGGTGAGTTTCTGGGTTTGTTTTGTTGGTTGGTTGGTTGTCTCCTTTGCCCAAGGAGGATACCTTCCTCAGTGACACCTCGCTGTGATTTCAACAGACGGTTTAACATGTGGAAAACCAAAGAGGGGTCCCAGAAGTCTAAGGGAGCCCCAGTGTCTCTGGACCATTCAGATGGAGGTGCCCCCCTTCCGTGATCTTCTCAGTTTGAAGGGAGCCTCCCTGAGCTGAGCTGGCCGCTTGCTGGTTTAGGAAGGACCCGCCCACCCCTCCCTCTCCTGCCTCTGCTGCTCTCTTCCCAGATCTGAGGTGCAGTGAGAGCAAACTGTGCCCAACACTCTCTGGAGTCGGTTGCCATGGCGCCGGGAGGAATCCGGTTCCTATAGCAACGTAAGGTTGACTTCTTACCTTAAGAGGCCGGCAGATTCCCCCAGGTGGTAGCTTCTGTGATCTGGCGTTAATCTGGGAGGGGACACAAGCAGAATTGCAAAACATCCCATTTCCCCACGACCCACCCAGTCCTTCCCACCTGCTCTCCTTCCCACATGTCACCAAAATAATGACAGTTAGACATGCACTTTCTTTAACCTAAACAATGCACTGGTATATTACTTTAATGTTTTCATCAGATGAAGGTGTACGTGGAGGCTCCATTCCTATCCCCCTTCTAGGCAGCCGCCCTTGGCACAGTGTCCACCAGGCCTGCATGCTGTAAGGGACAGTCCCATCAGCCACAGAGACCCATGTGAGCCATGTGCTCGTAGCGCTGAGCAGGCCCCAGAGGCCTGTGAGCAGCGTGAACCCCTGACGGAGAAATAGCCCGGAAGAGACAGCGAGTCACCTGAGGGCTCTCCTGGCTTGTCCTTCGCAGAAATGGCATGTGGTCCTGGCCTGCGGGGCATGGGGACCTGGCCTGGGGCACGTGGAGGGCAACGTGGGACGTTAGCCCAGACCCTGCCCCACAGGAAGGACACCCGCTGTTTTCTAAAGGCTCTCAGCAGGTGCGGGTCCATGACAGACAGTGAGCGACGGAAATACCAGGAATGTGAATAAAATAGTGTGATGTGATGGGGGCGGGGTTTATTCAGTGACCATGAGCCTGGTGGCAGGAAGGAGCCTGTCCTGGGATGAGCTGGAGGAAGTGTGACCCCTGCAGAGCCTGGAGACTGGCAGTGGGCCGTGTACCTTGGGAGGCAGGCAGTGGGCCATGTACACTGGGAGGATGGTGGTGGGCCGCGTACACTGGGAGGGAAGTGGTGGGCCGTGTACACTGGGAGGATGGTGATGGGCTGTGTACACTGGGAGGATGGTGGTGGGCCGCGTACACTGGGAGGGAAGTGGTGGGCCGTGTACACTGGGAGGATGGTGGTGGGCCGTGTACACTGGGAGGATTGTGATGGGCTGTGTACACTGGGAGGGAAGTGGTGGGCCGTGTACACTGGGAGGATTGTGGTGGGCTGTGTACACTGGGAGGATGGTGATGGGCCATGTACAGTGGGAGGCAGGCAGTGGGCCGCGTACGCTGGGGAGAGGACTGTGGGGGACAACTGTGGGAGCCATGGGTGGTAGTTCAGCAGGTGACAGAGTCAGACTCACTTTCTCCAAGTCACTCTCCAGCCCACGTTCCTCTTGCCTCTGCCCAAGGACGTGGGGTTGGGTGTGATGGAGGAGAGCCTTTGCCCCCTTCCTGTGCTTGAGGGTGGTTTGCTGGTCACAAGCACCCCACCCAGGCGGTGCATGCGTCCACTTGTGGGGAGACCCAAGGAGACCTGGGCCAACCCCCAGACGCTGGGTAGAACCGGGGTCCACTGGGATCCTATGCTCTGGGCTATGCCATCCCCAGGAGAGGGTGCCCCAGGTAGCCCTGCCTGCAGCCTGCCCACCTCCCTGGAGATGGGTGACAGCAATCGCAGGACTAACCTGGTCTTTTCTGCGGGGCCCCCTGCTGCCCCTGTTCTCACACTCCGGGTGGTGGTGGGGCCTGTGCCTGGCAGCCCAGGTAACAATTAGGGGGGCCGCTCCCCAGCTGGTATGCTGCTCGAGGAGGGGCCTGGGGCCCAGCCAACAAGAAGAGCAATGACGCGGCCTGGGGGACCCCGTGGGTGCCCTTCAGTGCCCCCCTTCTATCTGAGGCCAGTTCACCCTGGCAAGTTGGGGGCGTTCTCAGCAGAGCCACTGAGATGGGACGTGGCCGTGGCCGTGCCCCTGGCCGTGCCCGAGGCTCAGGGAGCCCCACGCAGGGCGAGGACAGCAGGGGTCAGGGGCAGATGAGCCTGGTGCTGACCGCAGGGCCCCGACCTGCACGCAGCCTCCAGGCAGCCTCCAGGAATGACACTGCCCAGCACCTTCTGACCCCGCTCCCCAGGCCTCGACTCAAGGGAATTAGGGTTTTATGTCATTTATCATCGGTATCATTCTAAGTGCCCTTCTGGTTGTGGGGAGACAGCTAGGAATGACTGGAAAATTACATCCCGGCTCTGTGCCCCAAGCACTGTCTGTGGTCCTGAGCTCACACCCATGAGAGAGGCCATGTCCCTCACTTCACCGCTGAGCAAAGTGAGGTTCATGTAACGCCATGAACACCCAGGGTCTCGCAGTCCCCGTGCAGGAGGAGGGATGCAGAACGAGGTGTCTGCCTTTCCGCCTCTCCATGCCACCCTTGGAACAGGGTCTGGAGCTCTCCTCCTTGGGGGACCCTGTCCAAGAGACCATCTGGGAGCCTCCAGAAAAGCGTCTAAGCTCAGGGGCCAAGGCGCCTGACTGGCTGGGTATCCTGGTCTGAGCCGAGAAGAAGGTGGGGCGGGGCGGGTCTTGGCCGAGCTGGGCTGTGACCTCCAGGCAGCCAACATTCATTGATAGCATCTGCCAGTCTCTGCACTTGTGTTCTTTCCAGTTGTAACAATGAGACTGGGAACTATGCAGCTGAGCATCGCAGTGGGTTAGTGACTCTGCAGAAGGAGTGAAGCACCGGGTCTGGTGGACAATCCTAGAGGGAGAAACACAGTCGGGAAAGTAGAAACCAGCCTGCAAGAAGGGCTCTGGGCTCCCTGAGGGTGCCAGCCCCACAGGAGGAGGGGACCCAGTGCCATGAGCCTGGTAGGGGGATAGGTTCAGAAACCCCCACGACCTCTCCCGCCTGCAGGCCTTTACAAGCTCTTTCCCAGAGGACATCCCAGGCTGGAGGACACCCCCTGTGACCCCCTAAGGCTGTTAAACTCAGGCATGTTTATGCTGACCAGCGTGTAGAGGGCTGAACAATCTAGGCAGCGGGCTGCGAGTGATAATCGCGCACCGAGATTTCAACAGTAATAGTACACAGGCAAAAAGTCGGTCTGCTTTTTGTGGCCATCCTGCCCTGGTGATTCTAAATAACCATAACATAACATGATGAAAACCCCTCCCATGGGCAGGATGCCCCCTGCCACCACCACCACCATTAGGAGAGGCAGGGAGCCTGCAAGTGGGCTGTTCTTGGATTTGTCCATTGGGTCAGTTTCTTTTCCAGCCTTCAGGCCTCTGGTCAGTTTAATGTCTTCTCGGTCAGTCCTGTGTTCACTGCATAAACTTAGGGGTTTTGTGGTCGCCTCTAGAATGCTGGGGAACCCCACGAGACCAGGCAAGGAAAATATCGTTTTCCTCTTTTGGTTATTTACGTATAAATGTCACGGAGCTGTGCCTATTCAACTGGGGTCTTCACAAAGTGCTTTTTTTAAACTACGGCCTCCATCCAGGGCTTCTCTTTGGCAGGCGTGTCCTTTTAAGCAGATGGAGGGCGGGCCAGCCTAGCAGGACGCGAGGAGCGGCAGAGGTGCCCGTACTCTACAATTTTCTGGGTCCTGACTGGTGAATTAGCGTGCGTCTCCCGTGTGCTCTGACACGCGGTACAATTTGTCTGCGGAGCGTGATGATAGGTTGTCCTGGGCTGATGATCAGAAGTCTTTATTTAGCTCCTGCAGCCTTTAGAGGAGTTGGGAGCGACTGTCCCCACCCCTCCCACGTGTTCACACAAGTGGGAAGAGCGTTTGACCTTGAGAATTTTACTCTCCCGGGGGCTGGGGTGAGGGATGCACAGTGTTGAGGGAGGCGGGAGGCAGGGCTTCTCTTCAGCCTGTGAGTGCGGGAATGCGTGGGTCCTAGAGGTGGCCCAGGCCATCCTACACGTGATGGGTGAGAAAATCAGGGCTGCAAGGTGACGGCTCGCCAGGGTCACACCTCGGATCCACCAGGAAGGGAGGCTGGGCGTGGCCCCTAGCATCCACGAGCCTTGTCCCCGACGCCCCCATCTGGCAATGCTCCCATCAGTCAGTGGTCAGGTGGCCCTGGCACTTTCCCCATCAGAGCCTGAGCCGGGGGCGGGGGGCGGGCAGGTGAGCTGTGTCTGTGTCAGCTCTGTAGAGTGTTCCGTGTGGCTCTGTCACTCGCTGTCACCCTTGGACTCCAGCGCACAAGCCCCCATCCCTTAACCAGCACAAGGTGAGAAGAGTGGTTATGGAACAGCATTGCACAGACAATGGTCTTGTGACTCAAATCTTGACTCCAGAAGACGGGAGCACAGATGAGGGTTGTCCACTAACTGATACTCCGTCTGCTGACCCTCACTGATCCCCCCCGAGAGCCTTCCACCAACCTCATTAATGTGTGCAGCATGCTAAGATGCTTCAGTGTCTGAGTCTGTGCAACTCCACAGACTGTAGCCCGCCAGGCTCCTCTGTCCATGGGATTTCCCAGGCAAGAATACTGGAGTGGGTTGCCATGCCCTCCTCCGGGGGATCCGCTCGACCCAGGGATTGAACCTGCGTCTCTTAAGTCTCCTGCATTGGCAGTCAGGTTCTTCACCCCTAGCACCACCTGGGGACTCCAGCCTCCTTAGTAAGCATCCCCTAATTGGTGGGTCAGGTTCCCAGTGTTCTTGCCCATCCATCACTGGAGAACACAACCAGCACTATCGGGCAGGTCCCCCATGCCTCCTGTTCCCCTGGGGTGCAGGCAGCACCATGTTCACACCCAGCCCTTCCAGCTGAGACCCGGATGCCTGGGGCGGGGGCACCACACTGAGAAGCCCCTTCAAGCAGCAGCCTCAGCTGCCGGACCTTCAGCCCAGGACACACACTGCCTCTTTTCTGCAGGAGGACGGCCCTCCCTACAGAGGGCTGCGTCCAAGTGGAGATCACAAAGGCTAGTTCTGGGCTGGCGCTGGCACGAAGCAGCTTAGAATTAAAGCCATGATGGTACCAATTAAGTTGCCCAGGCCCAGGCTCTCTGCATTTATTGCTCATGTAGAGACGAAGCCTGAAATAACAGGGCTGGCTCTTGGGGAGCCCCGCTTGGGGCAGGAAGGCAGTGTCCCCATTACAACAAGGAAGATGGATGGTGTCTGTGACCGTCCGCCTCCCCCAAGGACACCTGGAAGAGTTTCCTTTTCCAGAGCCAGGCCTGGGACAGTCCTGACCAGTTTCCCGTGGCTTGGCTGTCTGCCTCTGTGTCCTGCGGGAACGTGACCGGCCCTCAGCCTGGCAGCCCACAGCTGCGGGGTGGCCCTGCGGGTCTCCAGTCTGAGACTGGGGACAGGTGGGCTCAGGTCAGAGGGCCCTGGGAGCTCCTGAAACTGTGTGCAGAATGGGAATGGTTTCTGGGTCTTTCCAGGTGAAAGTCCACTTTTTGCCTCTGATTCTCAACGACGCCCCTGGACCAGAGGCTGAGGCCCCTGAGCAGAGGTTGCCAGCGTCCGACTCGCTTCTCTGGTGGAGGATCTTGGAGCTCAGGTTGTGGGTGGTGGACACCTGGCTCAATTTCCTGCCAACTAACTGCCTTAAAGCACTGACCCCCTGCTTCCAGCAACAGTCCCCCTTGGGGGCCTGGTATCCCCACCTCACCTGCCCCAGCTCTCGGAAGCTGGCTCCCCCTCACCACTGTGGTCCATGATGCAAGACCCCGAGGTCACTCTCAGCCCTGGGTCAGTTCTGGGGATCACTCAGGCCACTGGGCAGCCTTGCAATTAGAACCTGAGCCCCCCACCACCAACCAGGCTGCCACCTCTAACTTCCACCCATCTCCAGGGGCTGTGTCCTGCAGCATCCACCCAGGTCAGCAGATCCTGTCAAGCTGTCGGCAGCCTGTCTCATCAGAAATTTCACTAATAAATTAGTAATAATGGGTCTGGCTATTGGGAATGCTTGAGAAAATCTCCCGGAGCACTTGAGGGTGTCCTGGGAGAAAATAGAAGCAGCTTTATTTGAGCATCGGAGCATCTGGGAAGATTCTGTGAGGCTGATTCCCAGGACTGCCAGGACCACAGGGCTCTCTGGATGTGAGGTCTGCCTCCGAGTGCGGATAGGCACTCCCTGCAATTTCCCAAATCCTTGCCTCCTCCCGTCACCAGCTCTTTATCTGGGGCTCAAAAAGTCTGCAGGTGGAGTTCCGTGAACTCGAGTGGGAGACCTTTGTCTTCACAAACTTCTTCCCGAGTGTTATCATGTTATTCCTTTGTGAATACAGGCAGCAAACCACAGTAGGATGAGCAGTGTCTGTGACTTCGTCCACCGTTTAAAACTGTGGACATGTTCCTCTTCCATCAGGATAGTGGCAATTCCACAAAAGGGTGGGTTTCTTCCCTCATCACTGAGTCAAAATTCTGGTGGTCCACTTGGTTTTGTTACTTAATACATAAACAAAAAGTCACATATACTTTTACATTGCACATGTGTCTTCTAACTATTTTTGATAACCGTGTTTCAACATCATCAGTTTTCTTTGCCATCCTTTATTTCCACTTTAAAATGTTATCATGAGAAGGGGTCTGCAGGTTTCCTTAGAAGTGCCGAAGGCACCCGGAGCACAAGAAAGCTTACAAGCCCTGCATGAAGAACTCACCCTTCAGTCCAAGGCTGCTGTCTGGTTTCTGCTCTGGGGGAATCCTGAGCAGGTGTGAGCATCAGGGCAGGAGCGGGACGAGCAAAAACCAGCCTTGTACCCCATAATAAGGGCCCCTCACTTAGCAGATGCCAGGCTTATGCCCTGGACACTCTTTACGTGCTCATTAAATAAGGAAATCACCTGTAGGTGTTGAAGAGGAACCTGCATCCGTGGGCAGTGACTTAGAGCAGAGCTCGTGAAACATCTAGAGATGTGTTAGCCACCCCTTGGAAGCCCCCAGGGCAGGGGCGAGGAGTGGATTCTCTGGTAGTAATCACCGGGCTCAGAGCTCAGAGCAGGAGGGGGAGGGGGCAGTGTCGCCGATGGACCCCAGGGCCTGCTGAAGCGGGTTTGTGATGGGGACTCACAGCCCAGCCCCATCACTGACTAACTGTGACCCTGGCAGGTTGTTTAACCTCCTGTCCCTCAGTCTCTTCCCATAAAAGTGGTGTCTGGCTCATCAGCCTCCAATGAGCATGGCCAATACCATGGGCACACGCTCCCTGCAGCCCACGGGGACTTGGGGGAAAGGGTGAACTTGGGGGTCTGGAGGCCACACTGGAACTTTCACATGATCTCTGTGTCGTGTGTATCCTGGGGGTTCCCAGGGGACAGGACACCCACCAGGTGGCAGGAACACACCCTTATGTCTCAGTTTCTAAGTACTGGTGTCCTCATGTCCCTCCCGGGTGGGGTGGGGGCTCAGCCTCGACTCCGGAATGAACCCATGTGATTATAAATAGGAGGCTTGCATTCCCAGACGACAGGAAGCCGGCGGGTGAGACAGAATGCAATGGGGGTTGTCGCCGCCTCGTCTGTGGTGACCGTGTTAATAGCAACAACCCGTCATCCCAAGAAAGGACTCAGGATCGGCCAGGGCAGGGAAACTGCCTTTTTCCCAGGCCTTCCTAGGGAGAGCACGGCACTCAAACCACGTCAGAACCCAGGGAACCAAAAAACACAGCCAACTGCCCTTTGCCCCGTGGCTTCCCAGAGCAGCAGGGACATGACAGCCCACTGCTGGGTGGCTGGAGGGCAGCGGGAAGCGGGGCTGGGGGGGGGGCACAGTCAAGTCCTTCTGTCACTTCAAGTCCCTCCTCTTTGGAGAGCCCCTGAGGAGCAGGAAACCTAATTGACGAGCAGCTCAGTGACCGGCCTCCCTTCTGCTACCGATGCGGATGAGCAGTAAATCTCAGGCCCCTGTGCAGGGTCCTGGGAGGTCACAAGAGGTCTCCCCAGCCTGGGGACCTCAGCCCACCCTTGAGGACCTCCACGAGTTCGACACCTGCAAACTAGCCATCCTGCCTCCCTTGGTCTCTTCAATCACTCTGGCCCTTCCTTCCTCTTGCTGGGGGCCCGTCTGCTTGTCCTATTGATGAGGAATCAAGGACTCTCTGGGGTGGACAGAGGGGACAGGTCCGGGGAGCAGAGTCGTGGGGCACGATGACCGGGTTGGGGCGGGGGAGTTGTGATGGGTCCAGCTGGAGAGGCGGGGACGCTGATCGTCCTCGGCTTCATCTCTGGGTCTCTGGCATGGGCCGTGTCCACAACAAGCCCCATGTTCCCCAAGGAGGCAGCTAGATTTTCGGATCTGGAATGTGATGGGTGGGGGATATAAATGGTGTCATCAGCTCGACGGTGGTGACTGAGACGCGGGAGCAAAAGTCGTCCAGCGAGCATGAGTGCAGTTAGACATGTCTCAGGACACCAGCATTTCCTACGCGGCCAGTGCGGGCAGAGCTGGTGACAGAGGTGGGACCTAGGGACCAGAGGGGGACATAGAGAATGGGAGACATGGAGGGTGGGAGCCAGGGCATGTGTTTGGAGGGTGACCATGAGCAGAGCGCCTCGTCCTTGCTTGCAGGAGAGGCCAGCGGGGGGAGGACCGAGGCGGCACCCAGACGCAGGACATGCTGGTCCCTGGCGAGACAGGCAGGAGTGTCCGTCGGGTGGTGAGCGGGTCCAGGACTCGCTGCACTGGGTGGTCGGGGGAATGTTGGCTTAGAAGACAGGAGGAGAGAGGGATGAGTGCAGAGGGCCCTGTGGGGTCCAGGTTGGTTTGTTTCTTAGTAGGAGAGGAAAGCTGGCTTAACTTTGAGCAAAAAGAAAGGTCTTGAGCCTGCCCATGCATGAGGAGGGTGACCTTTCACAGGATCGATGCTGTGTGTCACTGTGATGCTGTGTCTAACCCGATAGACGTTCAGAGTCGTCACAGGTGCCTCCTCCTTGGGCCTCCTCTCACCCAGGACTGTGTCTGCAGGTCCCCCGTTGCCGCCCAACTGTCCACACCTTGGGCCTTCATCCTTCTTCTCCTTGACAGGTTTATAGCAGCAAGCCTCCCGCCCCTGCCTCCCGGGGCATTGTTGGTTCCAGGTGTTTGCACCACTCCTGTCCCGCCTGAGTCCCTCCATTCCCCCCAACCCTGACCTTTCTTTTCCAGGCAGGTTCCCTGTGGTCAGCACAGAAGCACGTAGATCCCAGCATTCTTATTTCTCCTTTATCAGAGTTTACAGAAAACCGCCTGTGTTGCCTCCTGTTCCTAGGCGGAGGAAATTTAAAATGGCTGCATTTTTATTAGGGCTCCTCTCAAGGATACTTCTGGAAACCACAGAATCCTGGAACCTTGTTACATACAGGAATAGAAGTCGGGAGGGCACCTACCCATCACCTCACTTCTAGGCAGTCCAATGTCTAAACCCTTGATAAACGGATCTTCTGTAAGATTTCTAGGTAAATGATCACAGCTCGGGTCTTATAATTAAGGTGAGCATAGAATTCATTATTTAAACAGGGGCCCTTGCAGGAATGAAAGGGGACGTAACCAAAGAGGATGCCCAGGTAACTGGAGCAAACTGGACAGTCCTGAGCTGGCCATCCCTACACGTGACAACTACGACAGACAGGACCCAAGAGAGTCTTTTCTGCTGAAGTTTAGCATCACGAGATACTCACTGAGAATTTTCTGCAGGAGAGCCTTTGCTCCGGGTCCTGAAACCAAAGCTGAAGGAGAGCCATGCTTGACTGACTGTTGGGGAAGAGAGACACAAATACAGTTGGCTGTGATTCCGTTCGGTAGGACTGTTTCAGTTTTGATAAGGAACGGCTTTGGGAACAAAGTGCTTTGGGGAGAAGCAGAAGGGATGGGCTTGGAGGGCTCGAGAATCAGAGGAGGCGGCTCCGGAAACACAAGGTCAGCAGAGCCTGTGTGACCTGAGCACAGTGTGTAGCGGGGGAGGGGGCAGGAGGCCTGCTAGGGAGCCTTGGCCTTTGGGGTCATCGTTGATTCCGTGCCTTTGTGACCTCCTCCCGGACAGGTGCAAGGTCTCGAGTGGGGTGGTATCCTGAGGGTCAGGAGAGGGCCAAGTGGGAAGGGGCTGAGGCAGGGAGGCTACGGGGAGACCTTTTGCACACACACACCTGACCTGAACTCAGGCCGTGCCAAGAGCATGAGTGGGAGGAGAAGGGATGAGCCTTGGAGATTCTGTGGAAGCTGAGAGCCATGTAGGTGCTCTGGGGGACCAGGAAAAAGGGGTTCCATTCATTTGCTGTCATTCCTGGAGTTGTCTGGAGCTGAGGGGAGGACTGATGCTGAGAATACTGATGCCTTGTGCACAGATAAATGATGGGATTGAAGAGGAGATTCAATTCAGTTCAGTCGCTCAGTCATGTCTGACTCTTTGCGACCCCATGGGCTGCAGCATGCCAGGTCTCCCTGTCCATCTCCAATTCCTGGAGTTTACTCAAACTCATGTCCATTGAGTCAGTGATGCCATCCAACCATCTCATCCTCTGTCATCCCCTTCTCCTCCCACCTTCAATCTTTCCCAGCATCAGGGNGTACTCTGCACGTAAGTTAAATAAGCACAGTGACAATATACAGCCTTGACTACTCCTTTCCCGATTTGGAACCAGTCGGTTGTTCCATGTCCAGTTCTATCGGTTGCTTCTTGACCTGCATACAGATTTCTCAGGGGGCAAGTCAGGTGGTCTGGTATTTCCATCTCTTTCAGAATTTTCCACAGTTTTTTGTGATCCACAGAGTCAAAGGCTTTGGCATAGTTAATAAGGCAGAAGTAGATATTTTTCTGGAACTCTCTTGCTTTTTTGAAGATCCAGCAGATGTTGGCAATTTGATCTCTGGTTCCTCTGCCTTTTCTAAATCCAGCTTGAACATCTGGAAGTTCACAGGGCTTGGCTTGGAGAATTTTGAGTATTATTTTGCTAGTGTGTGAGATGAGTGCAATTGTGCAGTAGTTTGAGCATTCTTTGGCATTGCCTTTTTTGGGGATTGGAATGAAATCACCTTTTCCAGTCCTGTGGCCACTGCTGAGTTTTCCAGATTTGCTGATATATTGAGTGTAGGACTTTCAGAGCATCATCTTTCAGGATTTGAAATAGCTCAACTGGAATTCCATCACATCCGCTAACTTTGTTCATAGTGATTAGTACATAGTGATTAATATGTAGATTAGTCAGGACAAATGTGGAAATGAGAGGATTTGGGGACTGTGTCACCCCACAGAGAGGAGGGCTGCCAAAGAAGACGTCCCATGACTCCTGGGTGACCGAGGAGAGACCACCAGGTGTCAAAATTGAGGGCCCCCAGGGTCTTTAAAGAGCAGTTTTAATACAGTGACTGGGAAGATGCCAGGCCAGAGTGGTCAGGAGAAGGTGAGTAAATGATCTGCTCCTTGAAGACACCAGGAGGCGAAAAGGGGGTTTGGAGTTCAAGGTTGAGCCAGGAATGAATGAAAAGCTTTTCTTTTCAGGTTATCAGAGTCTTGAGGAAGTCCCTTTTCACAGTGAATTCTTTTTTTTTTTTTTTTTGCCACTTTATTTTTTTAACTGAAGTATAATCGCTTTACAGAATTTTGTGATTTTCTGTCATACATCAACAAGAATCAGTCATAGGTATGCCCATGTCCCCTCCCTCCCAAGCCTCCCTCCAATCTCCCTCCCCATCCTACCCTTCTAGATTGTCACAGAGCCTCTGCTTGAGTTCCCTGAGTCATATAGCAAATTCTCCTCGGCTATCTATTTTGCACGTGGTATTGTAAATTTCCATGTTACTCTCTCCATACATCTCACCCCATCCCACCTCCTTGCCCCCCATGTCCATAGGTCTGTTCTCTATGTCTGTTTCTCCATTGCTGCCCTGAAAATTAATTCACTAGCACCATCTTTCTAGATTCCATATATATGTGTCAGTATACGGTTTATATTTCTCTTCTGAAGCAAGAGTGACTTGCTTCACTCTGAATAATAGGCTCTAGGTTCATCCATCTCATTAGAACTGACTCAGAAGTGTTCCTTTTTATGACTAAGCAGTATTCCATTGTATGTATGTAGCACAACTTATTTATCCAGTTATCTGTCGATGGACATCTAGATTGCTTCCGTGATCTAGCTATTGTAAATAGTGTTGCAATGAACATTGGGGTACATGTGTCTTTTTCAATTTTGGTTTCCTCAGGGTATATACCTTGGAGTGGGATTGCTGGGTCATACGGTGGTTTTATTCCTAGTTTTTTAAGGAATCTCCATACTGTCTTCCATGGTGGCTGTGTATCACAGTAAATTCTTAAAGAACACCCCCTCTGGGCTCTTCAGTGTCACACAGACTTACTTCTGCCTGCAGACCTGTGCTGGTCAGGGCCTTAGACACTAGCCTGAAGTGGCCACTTGCATTAAAATTTACTAAAATTAAATAAAATTAAAACTCAAGTTCTTCGGTCTCAGTAGGCATATATCAAGCGCTGAGCAGCCACGTGGCTCGTGGCCTCCATGTTGGATGACACAGACAAAATGCGTCTCCAACACATCAGCAGCTCTGGGCCTCCCCTGTCCAGTCACCTCCCCAGTCTTGCGTTTGGAATTTCACGTGGCCTCAGTGTTATCTGGTTCCCAAAAGTCAATTCTAAAGTGAAGAAAACCAGAGGATGATCTTCTCACAAATGCTGAGGAATTCTTTTCATTTTAAAGCCGACATCATCCCCAAACATAGACCTAAAATAAGTTGTTCCATGATGTTAAATGAGAAAGAGAGAAAATATGTAAATATGTGGATTATGGTTACCATCAAGCTATTTTCATCTGATAATTAGCCTTTGTTCGTGCACAGGAACTTAATTCTTCTAATTCTTTTCTGGTTATGTGCTCATTAGAAAAATTGGGCAACGTAGCCGCTTCCATTCTACTCAGAAAGTGCCGGGGCCTGCCGGCTGCCCACCTGTCTGGTCACCTCCAAGCAGAGCTTGTTGGCTGCAGGGACGAGAAAGCAGCTGACCTGCGGGCTTCTTGGGTGTTTCTGTCAAGAGACTGCCATTGTCTGGGTGCAGAGCACGCGGCCTGTTTCTCTCTAAGCCTTTCTCCCCTGTCCGGCTGCGGGAGCCCACCTGTGGGCGATTTTGTCTCCAAGATGCTTTGTGTTTTAAAAGGTCCTTTCTGCTGTTGGCTGTGCTGAGGCTACAGGAGAGCTGGGGGGTGCCTGTGGGGGTGCCCAGGTAGGAGTTGGCTCCGGGTTGTGCCTGACGCATCACCCTTTACCAGGAGAGGGAAACGCACTGTGGATTGTTCTCAAGGGGGTGTCCCACCCTGCCTGCTTGCGCTCATGGGGAGCTTTTCTTTGTGTCCACCTGGCCTCCTCCACTCATTTGATTTTGCTCCTGGGCAGGCCTCACACTAGTAAGGGGACCCCTGACTCGAGCTAATCGCCACCCCCTGCCCCCAACGACGCAGGGCCTCAGCCCCGCCTCCCCTCAGAATTAGCAGCCATGCAGGTGCCGCCGTCCTCGAAGCCTTAAAGCAGAGGCTGCAGCTTCATCTCCCACAGAAACTCGAGCTCCCTGGAATAGCAGGGCCCCCGGACCAGGGCCCCTCAGTGGGGGCCACTGGGCCCACAGCAGCCTGGGCAGGGGGCCAGCCAAGCAAGAGGTAAGAGGCCCCTGGCTCCCAGCTCTGACCTCTGATGGCGGGCACCTCCCCAGCTGTCCGGGCCCCAGCGCCTGTGCCTCCAGGAAGGCCCTGGCATCGAGGGGTGGGGCTTCCAGCTGCTGGAATCCTCATCTCCTGGCTCTGCATCAGCCCGCCTGTGACCCTGGACAGGCATGAGCGGAAGGAGCTGTGGGGCCTCACTTCGGGCTTTGCCAGGTGCAGTTGGGGCTGCTTGCCGTGTCCAGTCTAGAGGCTGGTGGGAGCACTCACTCTGCAGGGCTGGGGTGCAGGGAGGTGCTGTGTCTCAAGTGCCCAACATTGAGTTCAGGAGATGCCAGCTTCCCTCATTCCTCGGGGTTAAATCCTCAGTGCGTCCTGGCTCTCTGTCATCCCGACAGCTCTTCGGGGCAGGGGCTGCCTCTCTGAATTCCCCTGGAAAAGAGGCCCCCCCCAGGTCTGCTCAGGAAGCTGAGCGTAGCAGGTCCTACGAGATCCAGGCCGCCCTTCTACTCCGCGGGGCTCCTCTGGTGAGAGCCCAGGAGCTGTTGCCTGACCCGCAAGGTGAGCCTGGCTGAGCTCGGCTGTCGAAACACAGGCTTCAGTGCCTCCGGTCTTCGTGCTCGGCAACAGGAGAAGCCACCGAGATGAGACGCCCAGGCACCACAACTAGAGAAAAGCCCACGCAGCAGTGAAGACCCAGCACAACCAAAAATATACAAAGAAAGAAGTAAAAAAAAATTTTTTTTAAAAGAATCTCAGGCTTGGAAAAAATAAGTGGGAGTAATAAAATAAAACATGGCTTCATTCCTTGTGCCTGATTTTCAAGGGCAGAGGTGGGATAAGCTGGAACACCACTGCACAGGATAGCTTTAGATATTGGACATTTCACTGAACTATAAAGTCAGTAGATTTTATTTTGCTTAGAGAAAACAGCCATCTTCCTTTTTTGGTGGGAATGATATTATCGTCCTGTGAGTGCATGCCCAGTTGTGTCTGACTCTTTGTGACCCCATGGATTGTAACCCACCAGACTCCTCTGTCCATGGGGTTTCCCAGGCAAGAATACTGGAATGGGTTGCTATTTCTTTCTCCAGGAGATCTTCCTGACCTAGGAATCAAACTCAAGTCTCCTGCACTGGCAGGTGGATTCTTTACCTCTGAACCACCAAGGAAATGTCACTGCCCTACTGCATATGTGAATATGAAGTGTTTACAATACTGGAAAACCAGGCTGGTGCCCCCTGGGATTGAGAGATGTAATGCAAATGGGAAGAGTGGGCAGGAAGGGCTCCAAGAGTAGAGAGTTGGGGCAGGGGAAGGGCCCCCCACCCAGAGGAATGCAGCAGGAGCCTGCATGGTTGGTCTTGTCTGCAACTGGGAACCTGGTCACAGGCTGCACCTACACAGTGGTGTGATCAGACTTTACTTCAATCAGGATCCAAGTTCCACACTGTAAACTCGTCTAATTCTGTATGTTTGCATTCTGTATTTGTTTTCTTTTCTTCTTAGTTTCCTAGGGAAATTTTCATATGAAAACCTCCAGCCTTATTTTAGCTGAAAAAGAGGGAAATGTGTTTTTCCAGGACTCCTAAGAAAGATGGAGGGAATCTGGGCTCCCCTGGTGGCTGCCTGTGGTAGTTACAGGGAGAGTGACTGGGTCCCCAGCCCTTGGAGAGCAGGTTCTTCAGTGTCAGGGCTGACCTGGTTCCTCCCTTCCTCCCTGAGGTTTCCTGTGCACCCTACAGGGTGGGACATCCGTCTGCATCCCTGAGCTTCTGACCTCCGACCCCAGACCTGGGCTGCAGCCCCTGTTTATATTCAGATATGCGTTTTACTGAGTGTTTAAGAGTGTGCTGGGCTCCGACCTGCCTTGTCTTATTTAATCCTTAGGAGCCAGGATCAGGTTTTAGTGTCCTGAGTTTTTAAATGAATAGACAGAGGCTCAAGAGCAATCTGTCAAGATCACCTGGTCTGTAGATTCTCTTCTAACTCCCTGGGTACCCAGCCAAGGCTGGCTCCCTGACTCTGGACTTGAGCACGACAATCGTGTTAACCACTCAGTCCTGTCTGACTCTATGCGACCCCATGGACTGTGGCCCCCCAGGCTCCTCTGTCCATGGGATTCTCCAGACTGGGGCGGGTTGCCTTTCCCTTCTCCAGGGGATCTTCCAGACCCAGGGATCAGACCAGGGTCTCCCGCATTGTAGGCAGATTCTTTACCCTCTGAGCCCCCAGGGAAGCCTGAGCGTGATGGCTGGGGCCAGTTGAAGGTGCGGCTGACATGGGAAGGGCATGAGTGGCTCGTTCTGGCCGTTGAGTCGAACGTGTGGAGCTTCTAGGAAGCGGGTGCATTGGGTCTAGGGTGCTGGCTCTGCCCTGCGGTTCTGCCTATGCCCAGTCATGCACATTTCAGTGACACATGCGTGTACTCCGAGCCTTTGACAGGGAAACACCCAGAAGAGGCGGAATGTGGAAGCAGGGCCGCGTAGCCTTCCTGAACGTCTCGTCAACAAAGCTCATGCTGCTGCAGGCCCGAGGATACAATCTGTCCAGGATCGGTTGTTTTCCGTCTGCGGTTGGACGGCCGAGAGGCAGCCCAGCAGGACCGTGGAGCGGGGCTGGCCCTTCGGGGTCTGTGGCCCGGACTGTGCCGAGCTTTGATCCACAAAGCAGTGGCTGGCTGCCCAGGCTGCGGTCCTCCACGGCCCAGCCGAGGCTCCAGAGACCTCGGGCCCCTGCGAAGGGGCGGAGATGTTGTCACCAGGCCTTCCCCTGTCACCACCTACTAAATTTCCTGGGGACCCAACTGCCCCCCGCCTGCAGCTGCACAGCAGCCTCCTCCTGGCCGAGAGCTCTGGCAGGAAGCTGGGCCTCTCCCTCTCTTCACTGTTTCATTAGTGGTTTTCCGAAGGCGCGGGGCCAGGCTTGGCGGGGCCACGCCATTCGGAAGTACGCAAACACTTCATAAAACCAGGCTGTTGAAGGATTCCCAAACCCAGGAATCCGGTCCCTTAGAGGTCCAGGCTGGTGGCCTGGGGAGTCTGCTGCAGTGTTGCTGGAAACTTCCATGCCCGTGTGTCTCCCTCTCCAGTCATCCAGCCTGTTAGCAGTTCTTAGCTCTTTGGGTTCGCAAACCTCTTTTGTATCTGCTGAAAGCTTTGGACTCTCCCCAGAAAAGTGTTTCCCTGGTGGCTCAGATGGTAAAGAGGCTCTGCCTGCAGTGCGTGAGAACCGGGTTCAATCCCCTGGAGGAGGGCATGGCAACCGACTCCAGTATCCTTGCCTGGGAAATTCCATGGACAGAGGAGCCGGCGGGCTACAGTCCAAGGGGTCTCAAAGAGTCAGACATGACTAGCAAATACTTTCTTTCAGAAAAGCGCACCCATGCACACGCACACAGCGTTTTACTTAGAATCCCAAGATGTTCACAGCCGCCGGCTAAGGAGGGGCCCGAATGAGAACCCCCCGGGGCTAAATAGCAGTTGCTTCCATATTTGGACATCTTGGTGGAGAGTTTTCCTACCCAGAAGAAGAATAAACAGGCTCATCGGGTCTTTGTTTTTGAAACACCAGGAGCCTGGGCACCCAAGAATGGGGTCTGAACCACCAGAGTTACAGACAACCTCAGAGGTCAGAGTGGGAGTCTGGGGGGGGGGGTGCCCAGGGTACAGAGTCACTGGGGGCAGCTGTTCAGAGGCCCAGGAGTCTCAGGGATCTGGGGACAAGTCAAGAATGGCAGCAGGGGGCGAGGAGTGGTTTCTGGCAGGTGGGGAAGTGCAGCGAGCTTGAGGGTCTTGACCTCCAAACGGCTGCTCTGGATATTGGACAGAGGGATGCAAACAAAACGCTTCACACGGAGTCTCCTCTGCCCTCCAGATCAGTTTGGGGTCCCCCCGTGCACCTGCAGCCCTGTTGCCCTCACCTGAAGTCGACCTGCCTCCCCCCACCCCAGTTACCTGAGACCAAGAGCCCGAGCTGGCTCGCACTCTGCCAAGTGCCCGAAGCCATGTCTTTGAAGGCAACAGACATAAAATGTGCTTGTGTTCATGACACACCTGTGGTAACAGACATGTTTTTGTCCATGACCTCATCGAATCATTGGATCAACCTCTGGATGGATGACCCCCTTGGACCCTTGGGAAGAATGAAGCAGGAGTAGAAGGTTCTGGGGCCAGCAGTCAGGGAGCGAGCAGGGTCTCTGCCCTGATCACTGCCTGGGGGTGGAGTGTCTGAGGTGGGGAAGGACGGGCAGGAAAGACTCAGGAGCTTCGAGCCTGGTTTCCATGGTAACTTAGGTACCTTCCCTGTGCCTCTGTTTTCCTGTCTTTAGAAAGGGTACAGGAGCACTTGCAGGCTGATAATGAGGATTCCGTGAGATAACGCCCACAGAGCAGGTATTAACTGAGTGTGTGCCTGGCACACGGACAGCACTGAGTGTTTGTTAATGAAGCTGCAAGCCTGGCAGCACAGATGGGCCCTTACACCATGTCCTTGCCTTCTGGAAATTCCGAGCATCCCCATAAAGCTGAGGAAGGGAACAGAGTGTCACCTGGCTTCCTGTTAATTAGAGCAGGCTCCAGACTTGGTGTGAGCCTGCTGGGGGTGGTCTGAGGCCCCTGCCTGGAGCATCATAGCCGAGCTGAGCGCAAGCCTGTCCTCTGTGATGCTGGCAGGGCAGGAACTCGAGCTGTCACTGCGCCGGGATGATAGGAGGGCCACGTCGATCCCAAGTGCCAGCACCTCCTGCTCCATTTCCCGCCTGGGCCCGTGATTTCATCAAAGCTGGATAATCACCCCAACAGCACCCGACCTTTCTGGCTATTTGTCTTGTCGGCTGGGCTTCCTGGTGGCTCAGATAGTAAAGAATCTGCCCGCAGTGTGGGAGACCTGGGTTCGATCCCTGGTCAGGAAGATCCCCTGGAGAAGGGAAAGGCTACCCACTCCAGTATTCTTTCCCGGAGAATTCCATGGACGAGGAGCCTAGCAGGTTATGGTCCATGAGGCTGCAAAGAGTAGGACACGACTGAATGACTCACACACACACACACACACACACACATCTTATGGGCTGGCAGGGCTCCAAGTCCTTTAAGGATAAGGATGGGGGAGGGGAGAGTACTGAGCATGGCCGGCTGGGTGGGACCCCAGGTCCCAGAGCCGGGTTGAAGGGACTCTGCCATGTGCTTCTCGGACCAGAGTCAGGTGCCACATGGTACTCAGGGAACAGGAGCCAACCTACTGGAGGAGAAGGTGGGCGGTGGCCTGGCAGGCTGTGTGGAGACAGAAAACAAAGGCCTTGGCTCTCCAGGCCTCGCTCCGCCATGCACTGCTGTGTGACCTTCAGCAAGGCACCTAACCTCTCTGAGCCTCAGGGTCCCACCTGGGAAATGGGGATGTTAACGTTGGCTCTGACTGCTTCACATGCGAGGTCGTTTTGTAAATCTGAAAACGTCACACTGCTGTTGTCGTGAACTGCAGACGCTCAGCTTCGGGGGTCCCAGGGTCGCTGGAACCCTTGGAGTTCTGGTGTCAGGGGCAGTAGCTAGGTTCTGCAGCACCTA